TCAATAGATTTCATTCATAATATTATTTTTACGTCCGTATTACTTGACCAGAAATTCCACCAATGGCAGTGCAGTAAAGTGGTCACGTGATACAGGCGGAGACACGTGACCAGTATACTGTTCTGCCATTGGTGATAGTTCTGGTCACGTGATTTAAGTTTCAGATTTTCAAAGTTTTACATATATGAATTTTCGTATAATTATAACACAGTTTTATATCAATTTCTCGAGACAGGAACATCAGATAAAACTTTCATGGGTCGCGATCAAGAGCTAAAGTGATCAGCTTTCAGCCTATACCCCCTTTTATTTTTCCTTTACTGTCCCTTTAAGTGATGGGCATAATTAGAAAAGTTAGAAATTTGAGCTTTCTAGCTCAAACACTTTTTGAGCTATAGCAAAATAACTATAGGGGTGAATAAATAGAGTTAAAGATACACAGACAACGCTGGGTACCCAGGCTTTTTAAATGATAAACCTCCCTCTGTAGCTTGAATATATATTTATATATTTTACAATCTTTTATTGTGAAGTAAATAATGTAACAATAAATCTTTTTATAATAGAAAATACGAAATATCAAGATTTAAAAGAGTCTACAAGAAAGTTAAAACTGCGCTGATTTAAGACGATCGCAAATGATCCCTGATATTTATTGAGACTTCTGTTCCGTGTTAAACCATTCGTATAGTCAGATATACGATCCATTAGGTTTCACGGTAAATTGATTATATTTAATATTACTGCAGTTTAGAGATTTATAGTCGGAACTATACTGGGTTAAAGGGACTGTAAGCGTAATTACAAATGACCCTTTACACAAAGATGACAATGCCCAATTCGCAACGTACCCTTTAAACCTTTATCTAATCAATAATGTGGAAGATATATTGTTGTATTTCAGGGTTTGAAAGTGCAGTTCAAATCTTATAATTTCTAAATGTTTACATCTAGCAAGTCACTTTTATAGAGAAACCACAACTGAAATCAATCAGTTTTCAAAATTATTCACATTGATATACATAATTCATACTTGATCAGACAAAGCTTTTAAGGATACCGTTGTAAATCAGACCTTGTCATCTTTGAATGGATCGGGTCACTTGAAATTAAGCTTACAGTCTTTTCTTTTTAAGTATTACTGCAGATTTAAAGTCTGAACCTTTAACTGGGTTAAACGTTACAATTTGGAAAACATCTTAGCTGGTACAGGGTTGCCCACAAAGAATGAGACGATTTTACGAAATTCATCGTCATTCTACCTGGAAATATCGTCCTTCTAGCTGGAAATATCGTCCTTCTAGCTGGAAATATCGTCCTTCTAGCTGGAAATATCGTCCTTCTAGCTGGAAATATGGTCCTTCTAGCTAGAACACTGATAATTTTATCCGTATTGTTTGTAACGCATGAAATGTCACTTACTAGAGAATCACAATTATGATTGATCAACTTTTGAAGAGAAAAGCATTTTTCTCTCTAAATAAGTGTTAAAATTCCGTTTATTTTATTCTTTGTTTCGGAGACAGAAATTCTGCAAGCTTGACTATATGGAACCCCACGATTGTAAATAATAAAATTTTCAAAGAGCATATTAAGGACTAGCTTAAGTTCTCGTCCTCGCCAGTGCATTTTAAAAATAAATCGTATTAAAAAGATCTGTTTAAAAAATTCTAATATAAAAAAATTCTTATTTAAAATTAGCGTACAGTTAAACCCTAAATATTAAATACATCGAAAGAATTTATGAAATGTCGTCTTGACAATATTTCAATGGGTTTTATACTACAGGGTGTCCCAATAAACATGGGAATTCAATGACGAATTCGATATCGTCTTTTCAAATAATTCTTTGATTTAGTGTAGTGATACTGAGAAAGCTATCATCTGTAAGAGTTTCGTCTGCTATGTTCACATTTTGTTTGTTTATGTTTTGACTGCATACGGTTGTACTCGTTGTACTTTGAAAAACAAGAAAATTGCAGTATACAAACAGTTAGTAAACTTGTCCGTCTTCACTGTTCATCTTGCAGAGACATTATAGACACATCTTTACAGCCGTTCACCGTTTTCATAAATAAACTCTAGCAGACATAAAAATATTATCGCTTTTGAAATTATGTATTACAATGCTAATTCATAACAAAGACGATATCGAATTCGTCACTGAATTCCCATGTTTTTTGGGACACCCTGTATTTAACGTAAATCTTAGTTTTTGCAAAAATAGATAAATAGCCATGAATATGCGGGAGCAGTTTTAAAGAGCTCCATATAATCATTAAATTAAAAAAATAAATAAATGGAACATTCCATTATCAGAAAGTGAAGAATACATCATTTGATGAATTCTTTCGATGTATTTAATATTTAGGGTTTAACTGAGTGTTACCCCGAAATTTAAGAGTATCGTTGGACAAAACTCCCGAGTTTCCTTTTTGGGGTCTTAACATTTTTGTAGATTTTGATTTAAGAGTTTCGAAAAAAAATTGAGAATATAAACAAACTGAATAAACTAATATTTCATAACAAAAAATATTTATATTCACAAAACTACCTAGTCCCATTCGTGAAGCCCGGGTTTGAAAGCTGGTTTTCAGAACGATACCCATAGAGAATAGAATATATAGAGAGGAATTAAAAGAATCTCTCGGTATGAATTTTTTCAGTCCCTTTCAGCCTGAAAGGGAGTTCAAAGTGTACAAATCATGTAAATGTTCACAAATTATATGCAGTAGAGTAAATTAACAAAGTATGTTCCCTAGACTATCCATTTCAATTTCGAATTTTTTAAACTGTTAATTAAACTTTATAATGAATTAGGTGAATAAAAACATCATTTGATTTATAGTTATAACGGAAAATCATCGTTTGTAAAGTGGAAGGCATAGAGTCTATGTGAAATGATCATTGGTCAATTATGAAACCAGCCTATTTCATAATTTGGTTTTCTTTTAACAATAATTTGAGATTTTCTATAAAATGATATTCCAGGGCCCAACAGGTTATATAGCATAAATATGCGAAGTACACCTGCAGTATGGAAACAGTACAACAAAATGGCCGTTTTACACTTTTTTCTAGTAAATTCCTCTCTATATATTCTATTCTCTATGACGATACCCTGTCTTAAGTTTTGGGCTCTGGGGTACTGAAGGGTTCCCTAAGAAAATGTCCGCCCAGTCCAGCCGTTTAGCCAGCTAGCTGACAGATAAATATACATGTCAGATAAATATCTCCTGCAATCTTAACTCATTTAAGATTATTAAATGAGTTAAATTGTGAATTGGACATGCCTCGTTTTTTTATTTTATTAAAACTTGTTTACACTGCCCAATTTTAGATAGACAAATCCTCCAAAATAAGGGTAAAATCAAATCTAAAGTACACCCCTATAATTTTCTCTTCATAAATTCAAAATATGTTGTTTTGAATTTTCTTCTTTTGTGTTGAAATTCCCCCGGTATTGAACTTTTTGTTTTTCATATTTTCCTTTTTTCCTAGTTATTGATTTGTGGATTCCTTTTACCATGGTTTTTATCTGAAAAATAATGATGAAATAGTTTTACAGAGACAGTCGTTGAAATTCCAAGTAACCCTCCATTTAAGGGGACTGTAAAGCAAAAATGAAAGGGGGTATTGGCTGAAAGCTAATCACTTTAGCTCTTGATCGCGACCCATGAAAGTTATATCTATGTTCCTATCTTGAGAAATTGATATAAAATTGTGTTAAAATTATACGAAAGTTCATGTATGTAAAATTTTGAAAATCTTAAACTTGAATCACGTGACCAGAACTATCATTTCACCAATGGCAGAGTAGTATACTGGTCACGTGTCACCGCCTGTATCACGTGACCACTTTACTGCACTGCCATTGGTGAAATTTCTGATCAAGTATAAATACGGACGTATAAATAATATTATGAATTAAATCTACTAAAAATAGAAATAACAAATATAAAATTAGAATTGGAGTAAACCTAAGTTACAATTAGCTTTCTCTGGGATATCATCGTTTTCAGATTGGTTGCTTATTTGCTGAATTTGATCTATTTAAACCCACTACTTTTATACAAAATTGTGTATATATTAATTTTCGTATAAATTTGATACGGTTGTATATCAATTTCTCGAGATAGGAACATCAGATATAACTTTCATGGGTCGCGATCGAGAACTAAAGTGATTAGCTTTCAGCCTATACCCCCTTTCATTTTTCCTTTACTGTCCCTTTAAAGAGGGTATCACCTTAATCTGATCAATATTGTAGAAGATAACATCGTTTTTCTATTATTATTATAAGTATTTAATTCTGTTAAATTATCAAACAAGCTTCAAAGGGTACTGATGTCCTCTTTTATTCGAGGATCACTTAAAAATTACTTTAACAGTCCCGGAATCGGATTGTCGACATACTGCATGCTGAGACTCATGAAAGGGACTCGTTAATGCCTGCAAAATTTGAATTCGAAAAAAGCTTGTTAATAATCAAAACATAATTAAAACAGTCGTCTTCATTGTATTGATATAATCGCCTACCACTGTTAATTAATGCAAAACATAAATTACATCTATTTATTTGTATTTAATTGTATTTAATTGTACATCAGTTTTATTTTAGGCGTTAAATTTATGGTTTCACAAAAAATTTACAAAAATATTGAAAATATATAAATGCAAGGTTTTCGAAACCTAATCTAGAACAAGAATATACTACTGAATATATACATATTGCTTAAAACTTTCTATTGTTTTGTACGAGTATATATATGAGGACTATGAATAATTATGCTGGATAAATATAAAAAATCTTTAAATAATATCATTAGTAAAAATTATTAGAAATACACAATTTGAATTGTTATCGTCAAATAAAGTTTAGGCCACAAGTAAACTATATTACACCGACATTTGTCGCATATCAGTTTGCAGTTAAGATAATTTTTATTGCCACCCTTCTAAAGAGATAAAAAAAATTTTTGAAATATTAAAATTTATGATTTTTTTTTACATTTTTTCACTATCACAGAGACTTCTAGAATAAGGAACAAAAAATAGATCTGGAAAATGTTATGAAAAGCGAAATAATAACACAATAAAAGGTATAAATTACGGTTTAAGAAACAATGAAATTTTTCGCAGTTTTTTATCTAAAAATCAGTAAATTGTGTGATAAGTAAAAAACATACGTACCCCAAATGAACTGATTACTCGTCTCAAAATCTTATTTTCTAATGTTTACATCTTTGCAAAAGACCCTGTAGACTTTAAAACATGAATATTAGCCTATTGTTAACACCATCATGTTGGAAAAATATAGGAACTAAATAATCAGAGTTTGACGCGAGTAATCACTTGGTTCCTGAGGTTTATCTCTATATATTCTAAACATGATGAACTAGATTGAGTTAAATACAGCGCTCAACTTATTCAAATTTATCCTCGTGCCTGGTTTAAACTAATTAGATCTCATTAATATTCATTTTACCAGGTCTACAGAGTGTCAAAATAAACATGGAAATATATTCATTTTAGCAGGTCTACAGGGTGTCAATATAAACATGGAATTATATTCATTTTACCAGGTCTTATAAAGGGTGACCCAATAAACATGGAATTATTTTCATTTTACTAGGCATACAGGGTGTCAAAATAAACATTGAATTATATTCATTTTACCAGGTCTATAGTGTGTCCAAATAAACATGGAATTTTATTCATTTTACTAGGTCTACAGGTAGTACCAATATTCAGGAAATCTTATTTATTTAACCTTCAGGATTAAGCTGGCATATGGGATTTCAAAAGACCTTCTGAATCCCCAAAATCTGTAGTTCAATATCCTGTTTCTTGAGACACCCTGTACGGTGTGATTGAGTCTAATTATTGCTCAATAATGTCAAATCAATTATTCCGAATTTACTAAGCACTAGAAAATGTTATCACAAGTTTGAAAGAATTTAGCACTAATATAATTTTCAGATTTTGTCTCCTCTTTTATCACATAGAACGCTACAACTAAGACTAAAACTTAGATTTTCTAAGAAATAATGGCGGGCATCATTTCGAGGTCCTTTTTTAAGTATGAAAGTTTATAGACTTTTAAGAGGGGTCTACAAGAATCTGAGATGTAAATCCTTTTTCAAAATTGCATGCTAGACAAGTTATGTTATGCAAAAATATTAATCGAAAGATTTTTTTATAACGATTAGTAAAATCGTTTCGAAAAAGCGAACTTATTAAAAGACCTCAAAACGTTGCCCATTCATAATAAGTAATAAATATCTCTGTGTACACTGTACATTCTTACACCAAGTTCAGAAATTGTTTTCAGATCGAAAAGTTTCATTTGTAAGACTTAGAATACCGTCATGTAGAGTAGATCGGAGATGACGACGTTGCAAAGGAAAACCTGCGCCATGGTTCCGAACCAGACGGTCGGGGACTGGATCAGGTTCCGGAGAATCTCCAGGAACTGATCTAACTGGAAGGAGTAGAGGAGGAGCGCCATCACCAGGCCGACATACACACAGTTGTACATGTAGTAGACGAAGAGAAGAATACTGTACTTTTGGTAGGTCCTGGAGTAATGTAAACCTATGTACAGGGTGAGAGGAGGCAGGGTCCAGTATAAGATGATGAGAACTGTAACTACAATATCTTGTTGGTGCTGGTTCACAATACACATACTCACAAATGTAATTGGAAAGCTTAATAATGAAGAGACAACAATTACTTTCTGTAAAATCGACATCCTGAGAACGGTCGTCTTATCCTGACCCCTGAGTCCAGGATGGATTAGAATCAGGACGGATGCTCTCACCAATGCCGGAGCAATCGTCATTAAAACAGGAAGGAGTTGAAAAGTAAAGAGACAGGCGAAGAAGAGTCCGATAGAAAACTCCGCAACATATTTGACTGTTCTGTTAAAATCCTTCCCACAGTAGGGACAGATCTCATCAAGATGGCTTGCCTCCAGGTAGTCTGGTAAACCTACTAGGATAACAGAGGCAAACACCAGTAAGGAGCCCAGGAAGTTAACAACCCTGCTAGACACTACACAGATATCCTTCAGGTTCTTCTTCGAGGTCCAGTAGCTGATCGTATCCAGGACTAAACTACTCCAGAATAGGAAGGAGGCAGCGATCATGACATAGCTCTTCCTTTGTTGGGTTTGATTGTAGAGCTTGAAAACATCGTCTAGTGCACTACCTTCGTCAGGCCAGGTTAGGTTGGTTCCAACAAAATCTAATATCTTCTGAATCTCTTGCTTTGAAGAATAGTTCTCTGTGGATGCTACCGTCTGAAAGGTTGTATAGCTGAACCCCAGTACTCCCAGATGAAGGAATATTCTTCGAAATTTTATTCTCCAACCATGGGTTTCGGGAAATGCATATTCCTGTCGTTCTAATATATAGTTAAGGATCTTGGAACAACGATTAGGATTCTCTACTTGATAATCCGCTTCTTGGATTTCCATAGGTTCCAACATTTTCTCCGCGGACAGAACACATTTAGTGCTTTCCGTTCTATCCACGTCAATGTTGGTGTCATTGAACTCTTTTATTTTTATAACTTTTTCTTCAGAATTATTGGTTTCTCTGGATTTCATTTTCACTGGGGGTAGACTTTTAGATTTCCACTGGGTTCGTTTAAACTCCGGTTTCGGAGGAGGAGGTGGAGGAGGGACTTTAGGTCTGGTTACTACACGGGCCGTTACTCCGACCGTATTACGCTTATCCATCCCTGCCAGTCGACGTTTCAGGGAGGAGTGCAATTCTTCTCTAGCTCTCGATACCTTATCCTTGAACACCAAGGGGGTGGAGTCCTTGGTGGCGTTCATGGTGAGGTCCAGTAGGTAGTAGGAGATACTCATCATCCAGAAGAACACTGATATAATAGCAGGGAGGACGAAACTTTTCAGGTTGGATTTTTGTGAGTCTAGCTCCGTGTTGATGATGTAATGGGTGATAAAGGAGAAAGCGGAGAGGAAAAGAAGAAGTTGTGTTATCTGCATCCCAACATCAACAGCAGTTATAACCTTACTAGAAACCTTGCTGTTGGTCGTAGAGACAGTTCCTTCTTTTCTATTAGCTGGAACTGATTTACTTGACTTAAGTTCAGCTTTCTTCCCTGGTGGTCTCACATTTAAAGGTGTCAACTCAGCCGGGCTGTGTTGGGTGGGACTAGGAGATCTTTGTATGTACCGATTATTTATCTGATTTAGTATAGCTTTGATAAAAAGATGAACTCCAAGGGGGAGAAACCAAACAAAGATTGTTAGAATAAGATACTTGGCGTTATGATTTGAGTCTTGGGACCAGATTATGACTGGGTGGAGGCAGATAAATGGTTGGATTATTGTAAGAATAACCAGGAGAGTTGTAAGAATCTCAAGATTCTCCTTCTTAGAATATAAATGAAGGATTCTAAAGAGAACGGTCCCGGAGAACAACCCTCCGCCAACCCCGTGGAAGAGGAACACGATGGTGAAACTGATAACGGTCAGGGAGAGACCGTTGAGCGTGACCTGAATTATAGCCTGGGTGATCTTCCTCATCTTGATGTTGTCCGTGATGAAGTATCCACTGTTGGACTTCAGCGTCACGAGGTCATCAAAGTAGGTTGTGAAGATGAGACAAGCAATGGTTAGAAGGATGCTTGTTAGCATCATTGTTGAGGAGAGGAGGCGAATCTTCGTCCATCTTTCTCTTGTTCCACATTTTGTTATACACCAGACGACAATGATAAAGAAAGCAATGGCTCCGTTTACCATGTTGCACACATAGGTCCAGAAGTTGAGACGAGTTGCAAAGTGGAGAACATCCGACATTTCCAGAACCTGGGATCCAATCCCAACATTAGAACTCAATTTTGTTGTGAACAGAAATAAAGGATTATTTGGAGAGTTCCATTCGAAAGCAAACATCACTGCACAAGTACCATTAATAAGCAGAAGAGCATTTTGAACCATATCTTCAAATATATTCTTTCTCTCCTCATCTCTCCACTCTAGAAACCTTACTCCAATATGCTGACTGCAGAATGAAAGGACAGTTTTTCTCCACCAACCAGAGAACCTGAGAATATTATCCTTTATCTTAGTTTTATATTTGTTTATCCTCATTTCTCCGCTTTTACTGGTCTTACAACACCAGATTGTTGCCACTACTCCCAGGATAGTGAATACTAAAGCTAGGGAGAGACTAGCTGCTAAAACCACGGTGAAAACCATCTCCTCTTCCTCCTGCTTCTCCAGGATATAGCTGGGAATCAGGATCTCCGACTTGGTGAGGAGAACCCTGCTGGATTTACGAAATATTTGACACTCTCCGAATTGTATTCCTAGAATATCTAAACCACAATAATTACAGTCCGCGTTACATTCTAGTTTAACCCGACTTACAGAGCTGTTGGATCCTAGTCTCTCCAGTAGCAGATTACCACCGGATGCCATTCCGATACACCCTCTGTTCTCAAACCCGAGCTCAAACGTGGAGGAAACCATCCTCGCCTCAGACGTTTCCTTCTCCATAGTGACACCTTCAAACTCGCAGGGTTTCTCCACGTCAAAGAAAATGGTGACCGAAGCAGTTCCGTTATTTTCCGAGAACGAGTTTTGAACGCTTGCTGGGTTATCCGAGACTATAAAGGATTGTCCATGGTTCGGCAAGGATATGCAGGCGTCCTTTATCCTGATGTCCACGTCAAATGTACATGTCTTACAGAACTTGTCAAAACATCCGAAGAGAACCCTTGAACCATCAGGTTTAAACACATAGAATTGATTAGACTCCGAGTCGGTATGTCCAACTGTTATAGGAGAACAGTAAGGTTTCGGAGTAAGTTTGTAGGTTTTGGCATTGTCTCCCGGTCTATGCATTGAGCAGTTAAAACTAGTTTCATACTGAACAAAGTAAACAGGTTTTGTATCGATCAGAACCGGATTGTTTCTTGATATTATCATCCCTGCCTGCTCCTCCTCCTTAGTTTTGTTGGCAAAAAAATGGTTCTCAATGAAGTTGTTTGCAACATCTATTACTTTATGAAATGTTGAGCTTTTATTAAGAAAAGTTGCAAACTCTGGAAGCTTCTCGCTTGTATCTGTTGAGTTCAATATTGAAGTTCCGTCTTTGAAGTTTAAATTTTGGTTTGAAACCCCGCCGGGCTGGATTGAGTCTCTTTTCCTCCGGTTATATACTTTAGGTTTGCATAATCCGGATCTTTCATCACACTTGGAGAATGCACCCGGAGCTTGGAAATCTGAACAGGTACAATAGGATAGGATCTGAGCGTATCCTAGTCCTCCTGAGGTTTGGTTTAAAAACACCTCTGGGTAGGCTACAAGAGGGGATATCTGTGCCGGGAGATATATCGGTTTATCTTGAAGATACTGGTTAATAATAGGTCTCAATTGGGCTATTCCCGTCTTCATGAGCTCACTCTCAAATGTATCCGGGAGAGGCAATTTTGGTTCAAATGGTTTGGTTTTCATATTGGAGAGATCGAGTTGTTGAATCTCAATTATAATTCCTGTCTTGTTTCCCGCCGCAAGTTTTACACTCCCACTTCCCGCTAAATCAGTGAACTCCGCTTTAAATAGAACTACAGTAGTCGCATTCAGCTCAGATACTGGTCTACACACAGCCAGGAGTTTACCCTGGGGGATTGTTATATTAAGAACCCCCGCCTCACCCACACGTAGAATGGGAGGGGTATAGCTGATAGTTCCGTTGATCATGGAATCCAGGACGGTTGTGTTTCCATTGTACTCCGTGACGTTGGTTATACTGGCGTACCACATGATGGAGTTTAGGAAGTACCCGGAGAGCCTGACCCCTTGCAGAAGATGGGATTGATGATCCGACATAGAGCTCTGGGGCCATTGTCCTATAGGTATAGAACTCCGACCATTATAGGTTTGGTTCTGATGCTCCGGAATAAATGTGATATTCTTGCTCCCAACCAGCGCCTTGAAGGTGGAGGTGGCCTCGAATGCCACGAAGTCCTCGGACCAGATCAAGTTGGTCACCTTGTACGAAATGAACATGTTCTTGTGAACTGTCATCTCGGTGGGGATGGTGAGACTGTGGGAGTAACTGTCAGCGAAATCCTGAAAGGCCGTCTGTACCCCTGTATTCAACATCTCTTGCCACGCTTTAAACCACCTAAACAATCAAATAATATTATAATTGATTAAACACTAAAAATTACTTTGTAAAAAGAATAATTGTATACATCTCATACAAATATACACATTAGGTTGTTGGGGGTAGTTTTACTCGATAATTAGATGGAAACTTAATGATAAATGGGTATAAAAAACAATAAGCTTGTTTCTTCTAAATCTTCTAAAAACCTCGATATATTTTTATCATTTTTACAAATTCCCCAGTGCAGGGAGTACGGGTGATGATTGCCCCCCCTCCCTCCCCACCTTAATACACCCCTTAAAGGCTTCAAAAAATCTAAAAGAAACACAAAATGATTTTCATAAATTATTGATTTTATTCAGAAATAATACGGTGCTTAACTAGTCAATATATGTAGTCATCTCTTATTAGGACCAAATTTTAATCTTGGTACATTTTTGATCACGTTGTGAAAATCCGACATCTCAGAAAATTCGATAAGATATCTGCAACAGCCCAAAACCCTTCTTTGATGTCGGATCAAAGAGGGGCTAACGGGAACCTTTTTAGAATAAAGTAAATAGTTTCAATCTTTAAAGGACTGTGAACGAGATTTCAATTTTTAGTGCGGCATGACCGAATCACAGATGTCGTCGCTTTTCTAGCTTGTAAGTGTTTGATTCGGACAATTTCCTTAAACGTTCTGTAGAATAAATCTGCAAAACACTTTAAAGAGAAACACAAGTGAAAACATTGATGTCTACATAATTCATTCCGGATGAGAAAAATAGTTTAAACTAACTGTGAATCGGACAAATATCTTCAGTTCCTTTAAGGAAAATAAATTGTAAGATGTTTCTTATTCTGTCCAGTATTCAACATGATTGTAGAGTTTATATCTATAAACATCGAATTTAATAACTTCATACTGAAGGCACACTTTTAACTGACCCTCCATTAAAAGAGTGGGGTTGGTCCAATTCACAATGATATATCTCAAAGCTTTGAAAGATAAGAATAAATTTGTTATTTTTAACTGTGGGTTCTTCCATAAAAACTACTTGCGGATTTACTGTCACAAAACCAATGGAGGAAGTCACGTTTTAGTGCCGTTTTAATTCAGGCATGCCATTTTTAAATAGGGGTTACTTCAAATTTTTACCCTTTAATAAATCTGCAAAAATATAAAAAGTTTCTCTAAAATGACAATAGTTTCTTCGCAGATTAAATATTTGCAGTTCCAGGATTTTTCAACAGTTTCACAGAAATAATTTCAGCTTATCATTGGAAGTATTTATTCAGGCTCAGGAAGTATAATAGAGAAAAGAATTCTTAGAAGAATTTATAAATCCAACGTTTAATGTCCAGAACATTCATTTTTATCAGTGCATGGACACAAATAATGGCCAAGCTATAACTGATAAAAGTTTTAGCTAGGGTATGATATTTTTCGAAAATTCCGTATACTCTCTTTTCCCACCTTGTATCCATATACTAGTCAAAAATAAACAAAAATATTTGGTTTTATGTTAAAGTTGAACAAAATAACAATAATTCTCATATTCTACAATAAGAAAGCTAACTTTACCGAACAGAAGCTCTTTTTGAAAACTTATAAATTTTATAATGATTTAAATTTAAGCCGATATAAGAAGATTTATCTCTGATTTATACGAAGAGGGTTTAGGAACGGAAGAAAATCTTATTTGGTAATCTTCTGCTTAAAGCCAGGAAACAAATAGGTTCAGTTACAACATTTAATACTCACAACAGCAGTGGTCGGCGTTTATATCAAATAAAATGAAGACGACTTTTCTATCTTAGTTTTAATTTAATACAAGCGTTTTTTAAATTACAAGTTTACAAGTACTCAAAGAGAAGTTTTATTAATTGACAGCTTCTCTTGGCTTCTATAATTATGTGTATCTAAGCTATTTAACAGCTTGATATAAATCAAAATTAAAATCGAAAGTAGTTTTCATTGTATAGATATATACGATGACGACTGTACTTTAGTAGGTTAAAATTAACTCTATTTTTTAAGTGAACTAACATTTTCAACATTCAAGAAGAGACATATTTATAATTCTAATGTTAAAAAGCAAACTTTACTAAAAAAAAAATAGTCAACCTCTACTCTACAAAAGTTGAATTTTTCGCAACATTTCATGCTAAAACTTGATTTTTGTCATATTTTTGCCAATACAAATCTGGATCAAATAGCTGCTTCTGTAAGTAAAGTATGAAGTATGAAGTAATACATCCAAACAGATAATTCCCCTAAATCCCCCCATCCCCTCCCATATTAAATAACCTCTTCTTAGTATTAAGTGTGTTCCAATCAATGTCCTCTAATGAGATAATGCCAATTAATACTAGAGATGAGCGTTTTTTTCTTTTTAGTTGTTTATCGTTCGTGAACGACCCATTTCGTTCGATTTTTAACAAAAAAAATTTCGTTCTTTCTAAACAATACCGTTTATTTTCCATCTATCTTGTTCTTTTTCCCACTGAACGATCATTTCGTAAAATCGTTCGTTAAGTAAAAAACTTGATTAATTAAGTAAAATCGTTCGTTTTTGTTTTCGTTCGTTTTCACGGAACGATAGTTTTTCCTTTCTCTGACGATTTTTTCTTGACGACACCATCGTTCATGAAATTTCTTCTTGTTCTCAAAAATTTCATTCGTTGAGTGAAACGATGCCCATCTCTAATTAATACATTACACTAGGAGTCCACATCTTCAATTTACACAACATCAATTCGGTAATATTATTATTTGATGTTCGATACTTTCCCAAAGGCGTTTCCCAAATGCAACTTCCCAGGGGTATTTTCCCAAGTGGCAACTTACTAAATGTGCAATTTCCCAAGCGGCAAATTCCCAAGTCTGTCCTAGGCGCAGCGTTTGGCACCCTAGCATGTTCTATTCGCTTACATTGCAGTCTGCAGCGCTTCAGAAGTCCTAACCTAACCCTTGGGAAAACCTAACAAAATTGTTCCTTGGACCTTCTAAAATATAGCTGCCTCATCTCACTATCGATCTTTGTTAAAGGGACTGTAAGCGAATTTCAATTATCTATATGCTAAGATGGCCATGCACGACTATAGCAGTACCCTTAACAGCTTTGTCTGATCAAGTATGCATTATATATCCAAGTTTTTTTAACTGTTTATTTTCATTTGGAGTTTCTCTGTAAAATTGACTATATTAAAAAGGTGGAGAAATTATTAGAGCTAAACATTTTTCAAGTCCGAAAAACGATTTAATCTTTCACATTTTGGATCAGATTTAGATTTCAAGACTACCGTTGCATTACCATCTTTCCGTAAGATTTACAAGAAGGCAATTTTTTTTTATAATTTCCTCACTTCGAAAATTTAATTTTTTGTTTTGTATTGAGAACGAAAAAATGCGAACTATGCTCTTTTTGCTTATGATTTTTTTAAAAAATAAATCAACTTTAAAATATTTGTCATGCACTTTAACATTTTACAAAACTCGTTTCTTAAAATATTATTAATATACTTAAATTATTTTTTACAAAACTCGTTTCTTAAAATATTATTCATATACTTTAATTTTTACATAACTCGTCTCTTAATATATTATTCATATACTTCAATTATTTTTTACAAAACTCGTCTCTTAATATATTATTCTTATACTTTAATTTTTACATAACTCGTCTCTTAATATATTATTCATATACTTTAATTTTTACATAAATCGTCTCTTAATATAGTAATCTTGTACTGCAATTTTACATAACTCGTCTCTTAATATATTATTCATATACTTCAATTTTTACATTACTCGTCTCTTAATATATTATTCATATACTTCAATTTTTACATTACTCGTCTCTTAATATATTATTCATATACTTCAATTTTTACATTACTCGTCTCTTAATATATTATTCATATACTTCAATTTTTACATTACTCGTCTCTTAATATATTATTCATATACTTCAATTTTTACATTACTCGTCTCTTAATATATTATTCATATACTTCAATTTTTACATTACTCGTCTCTTAATATATTATTCATATACTTCAATTTTTACATTACTCGTCTCTTAATATATTATTCATATACTTCAATTTTTACATTACTCGTCTCTTAATATATTATTNGGGTACAACATAAAACCAAAAGTAAACACACTAACACAGTAATATTATATTATCTAACTTTATGAGATTCAAACAAACACACTTAAAGGGATCGGGTTTTAAAGGGAATGTGTTTTGATAGACGGGATTGTGTTCTGTTAGTAAAAGGATTATGTTCTGATCGAAAAAGGGAGTGTGTTTTGGTCGTAAAGGGATTGTTAAGATCGCAAATGGATTGTTCAACTAAGTTAAATCACAAAAAGTTGGAACCTGGATAAGTGATTTAATCCTAAGCATTTTTAACTTGTTTATGAAGACCTTCGTGGGTTAGAGAACCGAGAGGGGTGTTTAAAATATGCTTACCATAGATACCAGGGAGGTTTGCATCCCACGACGTTGACCGATGAAAGATTTGTTTCTACAGGTTTAATAAACACCCCGATCTTCTTCTTCTCCTCGTCCCAGAGAACCTGGAAGGCGACCTTCATGGCTATATGTGCCCCGTAGGTCACGATCTGACCCCCACAGCTGGAGATCTTCATGCAACCCAGGAAACCAAAATTGATTCCTTTCCAGATCCATGTTCGAGCAGGGACAGCAACATCTAGAAATTAATTGTAAACAAAGGAACTGATGACTTGAATCAAATTTCAATTTTCCTATTCTAACATCTTTGCAACCTTTAATATTTCTAACTATGAATTCGACTAGATCAAAGCGTGAATTATTAAAGGTTACACCATTAGGTTGCAAAGATATAAAGTTTGAGATTTGTGATCAGTTCCATTGCTGTTAATATTATTAAAAACCATAATTATTTTATTTTCATTCATTCAATATATTATTTGTGAAAATGCTAAATTTAAACCGAGGGAAGTGGGTTAAGTTTTTTTTTTGTTGGGGGGGGGACATTAATATAATTTTTTCTTCCCTATTAAGTGTATTTATAAAACTATAACAGATTTTAAACGTCACCTTTCAACCTTTACAAAGACTATTTTTATTTATAACGAGACAACCATCAGCCATTCTTAATTCTTTAGAAAAATCGCAATTATCAGATAAGACGATATGGCAGATCGTGTTATTGAACCATTAATTCCCGAAAAAAAACACCGTTTAGCCTTTCGATTATCACTACCGATCATGTCATCGTTTTTGTCGGAACGGATATTTTTTTATTTTTCTGAGAAACCAAAATCCATGAAAAGCTTAAAGAAAAGTCGCAACTTTCAGAGTATAAACGACGACATCTCCATCGTGCATTTTAAAATGTACCGCTGAAATTGAAACGTTTCTTTATATATTTGCAGAATATTTTTGTTAAAGCTTGAACAATGAATCTATATTCTATCCTGAATGTTAAACAAAGTTTACCTAAGCTAGCAGATATAGTTACAGTATTGTTTCTCAGTAGTTTAACTTCTAAACTATTATCCAGGATGTTGATTGTGCTTCTCCTTCCTATAAATATACATTCAATCAATCAATCAAATCAAAATTTTACCAAATAAACATAAATTTTTCACTTCTTTTCTCTTTCAGTTTTTTTTTTCGTCGGGTTTGGTCTAAAATGAAAAAGTATAAATAGACTAGTCTGTAAATTTAACGATTGTTGAATTGTAGAACAATACAAAATTAAAATAAAAAATCAAATACAGCTAGGCTGGTTTAACCAGGGTGAGAGGGTGGGCAACTTTCTTTTTATTATTTTGTGTACCTTCCAAATAAATGTTTATCACTGTATGAAATGAATTATCCATTTTTATCGCAAATCTTTAAATAATTCTTGGCAAACGGTTTTGGATTCAAATTTAATAAATATAAAATGTTGAAAACTAAATTTGAATTTTTCGCAAATAAATGAAAGACATAAGCCATGAATGTCAAGGGCGTATATAAACGGGGGGGGGGGGGGGGTTACAGAGGCAATGACCCCCTCTCTCTTCTATATACCGTTGTTAACTGTCAAGGGACTTATAAAGTGACAGTGTCCCTTGGACGTCATATATCCTACATATTTTAAACTTTTGCCCCCTCTCCCCTCCCCCTGATTATACCCTGAAAACGCCCCTGTTGGCTGGAGAAACCCTTAGAAATATGCGACTTCGTGTTCTGGATATAGATAGGAGTTTTATTCAAACCTCAGCACACACATTTATACTTATACTCAAACCTTAATCTAAACTAGCTAGAGATAAATCTAATAAATGTATGTGCTTTGGATATAAACTGAGCAGTTTGGGTTAAAAATATATCAAGATAAAAAATATCATGGAATAGATTAGTGCTTAAGATCCGGAGTTCTTTACTATGCGGATCCGGATCCCGGAACTGAAAAAGGTTGACGTTCCTTTTTCTAAAATATTGTTCCACTGTTTAAATTTTAAGATTTTTTAATTAACTTTTCTTTTTACCCTTTATCAGCCAAAAATAACGGATTACCTCTGCTCTGATCAATCAAAAAACCAAAGTTAAAATATAAAAGGTTTTGCCATCAGGCTGCAAAGATTTAGATATAAGAAAATTTGAGTTTGCGACGGGTAATTAGTTCCTTGGTGTAATTAGTTCCTTGGTTTGTTTTTCCCGAAGCTACAATTATATTTCTAGTGTAAAATTCAGAATTTTTCTTTTCAAAACTGACATAAAATACAAATTAATGTTTAATTAAGTTGGGAAAAAACTAGAATTTATTGTGTACACAAGAAATCTAATAATGCTAAATTTACTCAAGTCCTATAAAAGCATTAAAAATTAATACTTAGTTATCTCCTGGGGTTTTCAGAATTTTGACTCCTTCGAAGTGTCACGTAAGCCAAGAGACGCTTTAAAATATATCCCCGGTCAGTGATTTGAATACATTTCATGTTGATCCGCATCCGGATACTAAACACTGTCCCCCGCTCTATCAACCTCATTATCTAATATGAGGGGTTGGGAAAACCTTCATTATTTAGGATGCTGCAGGGCCAGGGTGTATGTTCCCAAAAAAATCATTCCCCCTTCCCCCCCCTCAGTTTTTAAAACTAATTTTCCAATAGATATTAAGTAGTTTAGGTGTTTTCTCGGAAATATAAAATAATTAATTATTCATATAGGAAAACAAATTAATTTTTGGGTTAAAAGTATCAGAAATGATAAAAAAAACCCGATTTCCAAGGGCATTAAAATGCATTTTCCCCCCCCCCCCCGGGTAGGGTGTAATTCTTAAAAATACGAACCCCCCCCCCTCAGATGCTAAGATGTGAAGAGTGTTTTTACTCCATGGATAGATTGGAACCAATATCAATTCTTTATTTTCTCTTTAAACATTGTAGGATTCATTTCATTCAGATATCAAGGCTTAAAGGATTCAAAGTTTAGTCACTTGTCTCCATATCTGTTTGTGCCAGATTCTTGACAAAATCAAATTAATAATCAAGGAGTTTTTTGAAATTATTTAATTTATTAATTTTCTAATCCCCAAAAACGTTTAACCTGACAGTGAAAAACCTTAACATGAAGTCAACGAAAACAGGTTGCAAAGATAAAAGGATCAGGAAATTAGAGTTTTAGGCGAGTAAGCCTGGAATCCCTGGCTAGTTAAAGACAAAGAAATCCTAGAAAAGGTTCAAAAGAGAGCAATAACAATGACCTCTGGACTCTCTGGGTCAACCTATGAAGAGAAGTTGAAAGAGGTTGGTTTGATCTCCTTGGAGAACAGAAGAAAGCGAGGAGATATGATCCAAGTCCGGAGAATACTACATGGACATGACCATGTGAACAAAAACAAATGGTTCAGCTCTGCGTATGGACCAGAGGAAGGAATGGGTAAACAAACCAGGCAGTCAAGTGATCCTTTAAACTTGAAAGTTTCAGCTGTACAGACTGAAATATACCGAAATGTTTTTAAGCACAAGATGTTTTAAAATCTTGTCTTAATATGTGGAATGAGATTCCACAAGATGTGAAAAATGCAAAGAACCTGAACATTTTCAAGAATAAACTGAATGAATGGCTAAACTACTGAATGGCCAACATAGCCTGAAGATCGAGATGTTTTAATTCACACCAGTGATACAATAACATAAATACACCAAGTAAACCAAGTAAAAAAACAACTTCTTAGTCTGAATTGATCCAAGTTTGTTTTACACTATTTTAAAGTTTAAACTGAGGATTAACCGAGTTTATCAAGATGCTTATAATACCTAATACTAAGGATGGCAAGGGACATGGTTTGTTTAAAATTTATATTTTACTGTGACGTATTAGGACACCTCTAAAAGCCTTTTATTGTAAACAATAACAAAGATTTTTGGCAATTCTTGTTATTTCCAAACAGCAGTGGTGTATTTTTTTAAGATTCAGGATTTTGAAGATCTGGGGGGAAAAAATTGGACATAAAAAAGGCAAGTTTTTTTAATCCTTTTTCATATATTTTACACAAAATTTATGTATTTTCTCCAATTCAGTAAATATTAATTGCGCAAACATACCTAACCTCTGTCGCAAAAATTATTTTCAAAATAGGGGGGTGGGGGAATNTCATACCTCCTCGCATATACCTAATGTTTTTGAATGTAAACAAACCTTTATCCTTGGTTTCATACCTCCTCGCATATACCTAATGTTTTTGAATGTAAACAAACCTTTATCCTTGGTTTCATACCTCCTCGCATATACCTAATGTTTTTGAATGTAAACAAACCCCTATCCTTGGTTTCATACCTCCTCGCATATACCTAATGTTTGTGAATGTAAACAAAACCCTATCCTTGGTTCCATACCTCCTCGCATAAACCTAATGTTTGTGAATGTAAACAAACCCCTATCCTTGGTTTCATACCTCCTCGCCTATACCCAATGTTTGTGAATGTAAACAAACCCCTATCCTTGGTTTCATATCTCCTCGCATATACCTAATGTTTGTGAATGTAAACAGCCCAATACACAGGAATCTTTGAAGTTTTATGATCTAAATATTTCTCAGTTTTGACTCTCAACGAAGAATTTTCTCGTCTTGTATATAATATGCATTAGGCAAGAATGTATATTAGAAAAAGTAACCCCAGATCTTCGGAAGAAGATATCGATTTTTGAAGATCAAGGAAAAACTGAAAAATTTGACATCAGCTGGCAACCCCCCCCCCCTCTTTGATATTTCCCCCTTAAAAAATCAATTTTTTCAATTCAGTTTCAAAAAGGGGTCTTTAAACAGATTTTTAATTCTTTTGAGTTAGTACTCTTAAACTAAAAAAAGAGATCGGTTTATAGATGAGGCTTTCTGGCATCAACAAATATATTTTTAGAGACACTCATTATAATGTATATCTTAAATATTTGTTCTAAATGGGTTTTCTTCAAGATTCATGAATTAAATAGTTTCAACCAAAATGTCCGCAGTAAAATAAGAGGTTATGTGCACTGTATAGTAATTCTAATTTTGAAATTGGACGTCATATTTTTTCTCCTCCTCTTTTCGGCTCATTCAAATTTTAATTAATTGCATTTTTAATAAATCAAAAAATGAAAAGGCTTTCTTTAAAGAAACTGTAAAAGCTATGCCAAGTGACCCTCCATTTATAGTGGTATGTCCGAATTACAACGGTACCCTTAAAAGCTTGCCTAATCAAGTATGAATAAGATATTCATGTAATTTTACAAAATGATTTTTATTCGTGGTTTCTCTACAATAGTGACTTGCACATTTTTTGCATCAGAAGCGATTATCAGAATTAAACACACTGTTAAAGTCAGAAAAAATTATGCAACCTTCAACATTGTTGATCAGGTTAAGGTTTCAAGTGTATCACTGTGAATCGACTTTGTTCTATTTATAAATATTTCATATTTAAGGAAAACCAGGACTATTTCTACCATCATTATTCAAATCCCAATATCCCTCAGCCAATATGTATCCTTCTCAAATATCAATTATTATGATTATATCACCAACCCTCTCTTCTTACCATCCTCAATTCTACCATCCTCAATTCTACAATCAATCTTTACCCCTTTAAAGGATTGTGAACTTTATTTGAGGTGAATCTCTAGGAGCACCATTATCGATTCACAATCTCTAGGACCACCAGTATCCATTCACAAAGGTTTCCCTGGAAACCTTCAACAAGAGCAGGAATATTCTCTCTTATCTCTGAAAATGACAACTTCTGAACTTCAAATAAAAGTTTTGAGTGTACTGTTGTGAATCGATCATGGTACTCATAAATTTAAATTATGTTGTTCCTTAAATAATTCTTTCTTCATCTATATAAATAAAGTTGTAATCTCTGCTTGGGTGTCTGTCTGTTTGTTTGTTCGATCATAGCTCGGTAACCCCTGGACCAATTTGCCTCAAATTGTGATTGGGGAACTCGGGAGAGCAACAGGAATGTTATTAGCTTGGTTTTGAGATTCTTAGTTGAGTGGGTCGACTTTAATAGCAAAAATATAGTTTCCCGGTAACTTGGTTTAAATGCGGCAAAACGGCGGGAGTAACTTTTAGTAACCTGGGCAGTGGGCAGTGCAGGGTTCCCAAGCTAATGTAATATAATTCCTTATCAACTTTTATTTTACATTCAATTAAATTTATTCATAATCCATACATACTAAAAAGTACAATATAACACCTTACCTAAGAAATAAATTATTTATTAGAGGATACCTCTAACTTTTTATCTCTCGCCCCCCCCCCTCATCACACCACTCCAAAAAAGTCATTCCGTTTGTGAGGGGGGCCGGGGGATAATTTTTTATAAATAATATATACCCCTCACAACCCCCCCCCCTTTTCAACCTTTCTCAATATTTTCCAAATCATTCAGATATTCCTTAATATGATCCCAACATTCAACCCTCCAGCCTTGCACGTGTAATGTTCTGGGGTTACACATTATATACACATTTATATTTTCAAGGATATTTTCTAACCTTTCATATTTAGAATTTTATATTTCTTGACTTTTATATTTTCTAGACTTTTATATTTCCTAGCCTTTTACATTTAAAATTTTATATTTCTTGACTTGAATATTTTCTAGACTTTCATACCTTGAAGTTTATATTTTCTGAACTTTTATATTTTCAGAATTCTATATTTTCTAAGCTTTTTTTAAGTTTATAGAATTTATATTTTTTATTAATATATTTTTTAAATTTTAATTTTTTCTTGACTTTTTATGTTTTCCTGGCTTTAATATTAACTAGACTTATACATTTTCAGGCTTTTGTATTTTTTTAAGATTTTATATTTCTTAGTTTTTTTTATACTTTTCCGACTTTTTTAGTTTCTTGACTTTTTCAGGCTTAAATATTTTAAAAATTTCAGATTTTACAAGACTTAATATTTTCTAGACTTTTAAATTTATATTTTCTAGATTTTCATATTTTCTAGACTTTTATATTTTTCAGGCTTAAATATATTTTAAACTTTAACTTTTCTTGGTTTTTATGTTTTCCTGATTTATATTTTAAAGACTTTCATATTTTATGGCTTTTATATTTTCAAGACTTTTATACTTTTCAGCCTTTTATATTTTCATAATTTAGTATTCCTTGGCTTTTATATTTTCTGGAATTTTATATTTTTTGATTTGTACGCATATTTCTCTTTTTTTTAATAATACCTGCAACTAACTATATCTAAATCTATTTATTTTTAGAGTCACAAATTTTCTCAATATTTTATATTATTTTTTTTAGAAAATAGTTCTCAGTAATATTTTTAATATTACAAATATAAAGAGACCAGGTAAAACATCAAATTTTATTTCAGAATACAAAGTAAAATATATTTATGTAAATGTTTACCGAACCTTGTTGTAGTGGAAAGTGTACAGTTACGAGAACAATGTACAATACTGTTATGGATATAAACAAAGTATTCAATATTGCATCAATTTACAGTTAAAATCCAGTGTACAGCGTACTTTGTAGTGATCAGTGTTCATACTCATAGTGCACAGTGAATAGTGTGCCGTACAGTACATTGCATATGCATTATGTATACTTTAGTGTTCATTGTATAATTTAGTGTACACTGTTCAATAAACAATACAGTGTTCAGTATACAATATAGTGTTCAGTGTACAATAAAGTGTACAATATAAGGTACACTGTACACTGTACAGTGTACAGTTTTAGTCTCTGAATATTATATTAGTAAACCAACACCTGTCAACACCAGTATTGGCTTAAACTGACATTTAGAAAGGTCTTCACCCTAGTCTGGAGAAATCTTTTTCCATATTGTTACATTTTCACAGAATTATATACCAACAAAAAGAAACATAATATTCAGCTCCCCCCCCCCTCATCCCGAGAGCCCTAACAATATATAGTAATGCATGCATCCTATCTGATCCTACCATAGATTACAACCTCGTAGGATTTTAGTATACTGGAGTAAAATTAAACTGATGTAGAAATATATTGGGGTAGTATTATAATATTGGAGTAGGATTAGAACATTGGAGTAGGATTATAATGATTGAGTAGGATTAGAATACTGGAGTAGGATTAGAATATTGAAGTAGGATTAGAATACTGGAGTAGGATTAGAATACTGGGGTAGGATTAGAATACTGGAGTAGGATTAGAATACTGGAGTAGGATTAGAATACTAGAGCAGGATTAGAAAACTGGAGTAGGATTAGAATACTGGAGTAAGATTAGAATACTGGAGTAGGATTAGAATACTGGAGTAGGATTGGTATACTGGACTAGGATTAGAATACTGGAGTAGGATTAGAATATTGTAATTGGACGGAGGGAAAAAGAGTAAAATATGGTGGCTATGTTAGAATTTAGAATTTCGGAATTCAATCTTGTTTTTATCAAATTCTTTAATTTTTAATTAAAAATCGTCAGAAGCAATTTAATAAAATGAATCGGATTTCCAGCATATATTATTTCTCAGGATAGAGGAAGAAAACTACCAAGAGAAAATTTAATCTAACTTGGGAAAATTTCATAAAAATGCATTTTGCCGTCAAAGGAAGCCCTCAGCGGTTTTAACATTTAGACCTACATCTAATGAATTTGAGAATTTTAATAAAAATCAAAAGAAGATTTAAACAAGTTTCATGTCTATTAATCAAATATTTATTTTTCAGTATAATATTAATTAAAATTGTCTATTTTAACTCAAGAATTTTTATTTTCAAGAATGACTTTTGAAGTTTTTGGGTGAAAATGAACACCTATAAGTGAAAGAAGTTTTTTCCCACCCTTTTTGATACCTTTTTTACCCAATAATTCATTTATTATCATTAACTTTCCCACAATTCAGCTAAATAAAACAGTTTTTTGTAAATTGTTTTAAATTCCTGAATTGTTTAATACATGTCATTATACAATAGTTTGATAAATAAACACATTTTAAAAATATTTAAATAAGAAAATAACCATGAATAGTTGCAGGGCGAGTAAAAAAGTGGATTTCAACGGTAAATTTGTTGAGTATAATGAAATATACTATGACTTATATATGAGCATATATCACATATATTTAATAGTCGGAGATTTGTTGGGGGAAAAAAATTGAACATAAGCTGGCCCAGGGGAGAAATCAATTTTGAAGTGAAAATATACACCCCCAGGGAAACCCGTATTTACTATTTCTAGAAAATATTTATCCCTGCAAGGAAGAGTGAATACTGTTCAATATAAGACAATAGGGAAAACAGGTCTTCTTAAGTATATAATGAAGTTATCTTCAGTATTGACTGAGAATTCAGATTCCTGGGGAAACCAGTTTTACAAGTTATTTAAAGGGGCTGTGCCCCAAAAACTAGTTTTGCAAGGTTATTTAAAAGGACTGTGCCCCAAAAACCAGTTTTGCAAGGTTATTTAAAACGACAGTAGACACAAAAACCAGTTTTGTAAGGTTATTTAAAAGGACTGTGCCCCAAAAAAACTATTTTGAAAGGTTACTTAAAAGGACTGTGCCCCCAAAAACCAGTTTTGCAAGGTTATCTGAAAGAACAGTACACATGAAAACCAGTTTTGCAAGGCATTTTAAAGGGACAGTACACGTGAAAACCAGTTTATCAAGGTTCTTTAAAGGAACAGTTCAAGGAAAAACCAGTTTTGCAGGTTATTTAAAGGGACTGTACAGCTAAAAATGACTTTTACAAGGTTATTTAAAGGGACTGTACCCCTAAACAGTTTTTCAAGGTTATTAAAAGGAACAGTACACGTGAAAACCTGTATTACAAGGTTATTTAAAGGGACTATACATGTATTTCTAGTGGCCATCCATTAAAGTACAAGTAAAACAACCTTCATATTGAAGAATATCCTGTTTGTATCGGATTCAGATTTTTTTGAGTCACATTTTGATAACTCGTTTAACATCCATCAAAAAGAGTGTTCATAATTTCTATGGTTAACTTTGAAACTTACTATATAGACCAAAAAATGTATAAAAAAGCAAATACGAAAAGCCGTCATCTAACGGGAGGAAATGGGATCCAAAGTTAAGGCTCACTGACTTTTGACGACTTTTTCGCGATTGTTACTCTTAAAATATTTGATTAATTAATTTAATTTGATGTTTTAGTTTTTCTGTCTAAAAATTGAAAAACTTAATTTATGCCATGACAAGAAATCGACGATATCTTACTTAATGTTACACAGGATAAAAATCTGCAGAGTAGCATTGTTAATCCGAATGTAAGTTCTCTAACGGTTAATACGAGAGTCCCTTTAAACAATTGTGGCACTAGTTCTTCTATTTCTACTCCACGGTAAAATAAAGGAGATAAATTACTGAATTTAACTTTTATACAAGTTTACAGGGTTTCTGTACCAACTGGTGAATTAAAAGTAATCTTTTTCATTTATTTGCCAGGATAAGTTTTCTTGGTGTTAGATTTGCTCATTTCAGCCCAGGGGGTTCCAAAATAAGTCAATATTTATAAAATAACAAATTGAAAATCAAAAATTTGAGGTGAAGGTGAAACTTTTTTATCAAATAATTTTTTTTTCATCTTGCACTAACAAAAACATTTACAACAGCAAAGTAGAAGAAACATAAAAAATAAAAATTAAAAATCTTCTGTAACTTTTTTTTTTTTTTTATACATCATTTTTAATTTTCCAAGTTTAAATCCTTCATTTGATAAAGATGGCTAACAACAATCAAGCTATTTGTTGTTAGAGACGTGTTGCTTTCTAGATAATCCCAGCATAAGCTGATCAATTTTCAGACAGAAAATTAAGGGATTCCCACCCCCGGTTTAAGATTAAAAAATTATAAGATACTTTAGTGAATCGGGGTTTATCAATATTACGTTGCTAGGCCCTTTGTAAAATAATTTTACCTGACGGTTCTATTCTATATCTAACATTACAATTCTCTTCGTCAGATTTCGTCGGAGGTTCTTTCATCTCCATAGCCTCCAGAGCCTGAAAATATTTAGTTCAATTTAGCCTCCAAAAGCCTGAATATTCATTGTTTATTTAGCCTCCAAAGCCTAAATAAATATTGGTTTTTTTTTGCGAGCCAAAGTCTAAAAAATATACTTTATTTTGGCCTTCAAAGTCTTAAAATATTTCATCAATTTTAGGAATGTTCATGTTCATGTTCATGTTCATGTTCATGTTCATGTTCATGTTCATGTTCATGTTCATGTTCATGTTCATGTTCATGTTCATGTTCAAGTTCAAGTTCAAGTTCAAGTTCATTTTCATGATCATGTTCATGTTGAATCCAAGGTTTAAGTAAAAAGATGTTTGTGCACAAACCGTTCTGGTTTAAACTTGAAATTAACAAACTAAAGTTTTCCTAAGTAGTTTCTCAACCTTGGGTTGAAAGAATAAACAAAAAAGTGAAAATAAGAGAATTCTTAAATAAATATGTAAATAGTACAAATATTGTATGCATATATTTGTTGTTCTCCTTGAAAACAAAATTAACAAAAAATATATTTTTAAAGTCATCTCTTTATGTTCACTGCTTTTAATATAAAAAATAAAAGTAATAGTTCAGTAGAAGAGGGATGTTAAAAAGTATAGTAGTAGAAGAAACACTGTTAATGTTCAATGTATGTATGTCATCTATTAAGAAAGCAAAGTTTAATTATAGATAATTACAAATACTAATATATATGTAATCTAAGACTAAAAATGTATTAGATTTTAAAATAAGAGAAAGGAACCGTAGGCGATATTTCAAGTAATCCCCCGTTTAAGGAATAGCATGTCTGACTTACATAACGGGGCCCTTTAAACCACTGTCTGAGCATAAAGGGTAACATTGTGAATCAGACATGCCACTCTATAAATATAAAGTACCTTAAACCTGATTTCCAACGGAACCCTTGAAACCTTAATCTGATCATAAATGTGGAAGATAGTGATACCGTCATTTCCATATGCTCAAGTCACTTTCGCAGAGAAACCGCAGATGAAAATAAACAGTTTGTAAATCGGGCATCTTTGCGTGGAGGGTCCCTTTATTGGCTATTAAGATTTAGATCAGTATAATTTCTCTAGGTCAGTTCCAATAGCATCATTTGCTATAATGGGTTGTGTATTGAACCAGAAGCAACGGTTCCTATCCTTAACCTTGATCTAGGTCATATTTAGAACAGGTTTGTTTATCTCAAGGTATAAGATTAAGGCAGGAGTAACCTTGGATAATTAATTCCATTTGTCATATTCAACATTAGAAAACAGATTTAGGGTTAGGTTAGGTTAAGACACTTTCTGGGGCGAGCGCTGCGGCTAGGACAGGCTGGGGGCCGAGCGCTGCGACCCCCCCCAGACTTAGGATGAAAAATCATTAATCCGTTTTTGAAACTTTCTACAATTCTCACATCAGATTATCTATTCTAATCTGAAAATGCACTGTGACAATTTTTATTTCTGCTTAATCCGCTCTTTTTCTCTCTTCTTGGATATCCGTTCCGGATTCTGACCAATACGAGTTCTCTTATTTAATGGCGACCAAAATTTTAAATTTCCCGGCTTCCTGGATGTTTGGTATTCTACATATCTGATTGGTTGAATTTTAGACACTTTTCTGGTTAAAACTAAAAAATTAAAATAGTGTTAAGATTAACAAAAAGAGATCAAGGTCTCGATATCCACAATTCTATAGTTTTCAGCTCTTTAAATATTTTACAAATTTTATATTTCGTAATTCAAGAGATGAATACTTCTGTTTTCATTTTATTTTTAAAATCATTTTATTTCATGATTCAAAAATTCCGATAATTAAGAAAATTCCAATATAATCACAATTTACAGAATAAATTGTTAATTAAAACGAGCTTTATACATTTTTTATCATAAAATAAAAAATATGTAAGCTTTTAAACTAGAGCTTACGATCCATACAATTTTCATACAGATTAGTCTTATAAGCATTTCTTTTCTATGCGAAAAATTCTCTTTTTTTACGCAATATTTCATTAGTGAACACTTGAAATTTGTGTTTGATAACGAATATTTTTGTTATTATTTATTATTTATTATTTATTATTTATTATTTATTATTTATTATTTATTTGGTGACAAAATATACCAAATGGGCGTTGCAATTCTGTTTGTTGCAAATAAGTCTGAATTGAGTTGCATGTCTGGAACAAATTGAGGAATGAATAAATGGTTAAAAAGAAATACAAATAAAATTATACCACCCAATATATGTAAATAAATTATCAGAGCTATATATTTTTTGGGATTTTTTAAGAGTACGAATGTTATTGATCACCCCTCTTACATTCCAGGAAATATTTCTAGAATTCATCTTGTAAACAATAACATAGAATTACAGGAAGGTACCTCCCAATACAGAGACAATTTTAGTCAGGTCTGCAGACATGTCAAAAATTTACCCTTTTTTTTAAAATAACGACAACGTTAAAAACGTACTACTATAAAAAAGTATATTTAGACCAGTGCAATTAATCCACTTCGTTTTGATGCTAATCCGGATCCGCACTGAAAACAGTGGATCCGGATCCTAAACTGGAGTAATTTCAAGAAATAGGGGGT